TTCAGCAAAAAAATTGCTTATTTGCTACTGTTTCAGCTAATTCATACTACGTATTTTTATACTGAAATAATGAACCTGTCCACTTTTTCTTGCTTTGCCCCATACAAAAATGTACGTAGTATTACATACTTGTCCAATCAATTATTTTTAACTAAAAACAATCAGCAAAGATTAAACACTGCAGTATAAGATATGAAAGTGTAGTATTGGCTGAACTTTATTTCCTTTAAGCATTTTACTTGAGAAACCACTTTATTTTAGCTGTGATGATCTCAGGATGTTCCTCCAGACAATGAATTTGAAAAGCGCATAAGGCCTGAGGTAATTCCTGCAAAGGACATTGGGGTGACTTTTGAAGATATTGGTTCACTGGATGAGACTAAAAAATCACTTCAAGAACTGGTTATGCTTCCTCTTAGGAGACCTGACCTCTTCAATGGTGGACTTCTTAAGCCTTGCCGAGGCATATTGCTGTTTGGTCCTCCTGGTACCGGAAAAACTATGCTAGCAAAGGCTATTGCCAATGAAGCTGGAGCAAGCTTTATAAATGTCTCCATGTCAACCATCACATCAAAATGGTTTGGTGAAGACGAGAAGACTGTCCGAGCTTTGTTCACTCTTGCAGCCAAAGTTTCTCCAACAATTATTTTTGTGGATGAGGTCGATAGCATGCTTGGGCAGCGAACAAGAGTGGGAGAGCATGAAGCTATGCGTAAAATTAAGAATGAATTCATGACTCATTGGGATGGATTATTGACAAAACCTGGTGAGCGCATACTCGTTCTTGCTGCAACCAATAGGCCATTTGACCTTGATGAAGCAATTATCAGACGGTTTGAGCGGAGGTATAGTCATAATTATGCCAACTTTGGATTGAAGTTTCCCCTGTTATCTAGGTTTTTACCCATAGACAAAGATCTTTCTCCCTTTTAAGCATCCCACATCAGTCAATTGCTAAATAAATACAAAATCACGTATAAACCTTAACATACAGAAACCAAACGTATAAGGTCTTGGACTGTTCCTATCAAATTTTGATATTTTAGGATGAAACTTTAGGTTTTAATACTCCACTATATGGAGTGTGAGGAGGATAAGAGAATTTGAAATAGTGACAAATGTATTACTAAAATAAAAATAACGGACAAAGAATCATTGTTAAAGGTTTAATTCACAATGACTACTGTTTTTTTCTTGTCCGTAGTGATATTATCGTGTTTAATTTTTACATCACAGTGACTATGGCTGTATTTCGAGGCCACTTTAGTGACTACATAGTTATATTTTTGTCATGACCTATATTTTAGTAATATTATACTAAAAACCCCTAAGAACTGTCTGTTTTGTTGGGCAGAATTATGGTTGGTCTACCATCAGCGGAAAACAGGGAAAAGATCTTGAGAACTCTACTAGCAAAGGAAAAAGTAGAAGATATTGATTTCAAAGAGCTTGCAACAATGACAGACGGATACAGTGGAAGTGATCTCAAGGTTTGTACTTTGAAAAGAATGAAAGGACTCTGTAAACATATTATCATCTGGGCCGCTACTAATGTCATTAACCATTGAATACAGAATTTGTGCATCACAGCAGCTTACCGACCAGTGAGAGAGCTAATACAGCAAGAGCGAGAGAAGGACATGGTACTATTATTTAATTAAAACTTCATATCTTTCCACTACTGCTGCTTCATTCTATTGCGACTAGATCTTTATTATTTTCTAATAAATGACTATCTTTAGGAGAAGAAGCACAAAGCTGAGGAAGGACAAAGCGCAGAAGATGACAAAAAAGATCCAGACAAAAAAGATGAGGCAGAGGAAAGAGTCATCACTCTGAGGCCTTTGAATATGGAAGACATGAAGCAAGCAAAGAATCAGGTAATTTATCCCAGTTATGTCTGCAAGTATTTCCCAAAAAGAATAATATTTCACGACACCCGATCCTATATTGTTTGGTCTATTATTAGCTCACGTCGAAAACAATGCGAGTATAAGTTTTTGTGTGTCCTGTAATAAGTTAATAATCTATCTTACATCCATCAAATATAAAGCTGTAGACTACTTTTATGAGGTTGATGTCTTAGAATGAAAACCAAGTCTTAATATAATGAGAAAATTGCCCCTCTTATGACTAAAGTAGTATTAGAGTCTATTACATTTCAATGAGTTATTCAGGTTGACTAAGGCTTTAAAAGAGTACACGGTTTTCAAGATTGATTTGCTCCAACAAGCCTGCATTTGCAGGGCAGTTATGTCACCCACACCTGTCAAATATAAAAACACAACTATTTTATATGGTCTTACTCCTAATGTTGTTTGGCATTTTAGGATGTGGCACCAAATGTTAATACTCTGTATAAAAAACTAATTTTTTTATAAGAATCTAATTTTTTGGTCCTTGCAGATTGCTGCTAGTTTTGCTGTGGGGGGATCCATAATGGCTGAGCTCAAGCAATGGAATGAACTGTACGGAGAAGGTGGTTCAAGAAAGAAGGAACAGCTGTCTTACTTCTTTTAGACAGTCAGATACACACACTCATTGACATTCTTGTGATGTAGCGATACTTATGATGGCGTGCTAGATATCTCCCCCGAGTCTTGGAACCGCACAGAGACCACACCGCATCATAGAGATCTGCTGCATCTCCTCATTTTAATTGCTCAAACACATTTCCTTTCATTTGTGTATGGCTCATTGAAGCCTGTACTATGTATGATAGGGAAGTATTTATCCCATATGTATCTCGTTGTGCATCCTATATATGTAATTATTATGCAGTAGTAACATTAAATAGTGTGTTTTAAGTTTATATATGTTGTGAAATGAATGGTATTTTAATCACTTCATTCTCATTTAATGTATTTCTGGAACCTCTCTACGACTCTACCTATAGGAGATTAAGGGAGTGTAAGAGTGTTTGCAATTGTTTCTACTTTAAAAAAGTGTTTTTTTGAAGTAATTTTAGAAAAAGTGCTTAATACGTAGTGGTAAAAGTTAGTAGTGTTTGAAAAAAAGATGCTTTAAAAAAAAATAAAAGTGGGTAGTTTTTGATAAAATTAGTGATTTTTGATAAAAGTGGGTAGTTATTGGTAAAATTAGTATTTACCTAATGATGCTAAATATCACACCACTTCGGCATAAGCTTGCTTAACCAAAAATGGTAAATAGACTTCTCATGTTTCTATGGTTCTTTTAGATAGAAATCCCACGAACTATTATCACCCATTTTGACCAATCATAATTAACACTTGTTATCACTTACTTAATTATGGTTAATTGAGTTGTACTTTAGGTATGAAAATAAGATATTCATATTTAGGGAATGCGATTGTCAGGACCTCTATCAATTACACTATTAATTAAGTAATAATAGTTGGATGCAAATTTTGACTCCAACCCTTTCATCCATCAATGAGGGCAAATTTGAAGATCCCACTTCATTTTTTTTAACTCCAGGGGCATCTGAGGGAGGGGTTGTGGGGAGACTGGAGTAATCTAGTCTGAAACTCACTCTATTGAGTTTCGAATCCGAGACCTCCCGTAAGGGAGAGTGAGTCGACTACCAGCTGGGCTTATGGATGGACTCAGGCCGGGTGGTCCGACCCGGTGGCCCGGTCAGTGACCGGTCCGAGTAGGCCCGGCCCGTGGGTTTTCCGGTCCAGGCTCGGGTCACTCAAAACAAGGCCCGACCCGGCCGGGCCAAAAACTATTTTTTTTTTCATTTTTTTTTTAAATTTTTGGGTTGGGCTAGGTATTTTGGGCCATTTGGGGTGGTTTGGGGGGTTGGGGGTGGGAGGGGGGTTAATTAGGAAGAGGAAAAAATATATATAATGGGCCCGGCCCGGCCCGGACCCGGTGGTTACCCGGGCCGGTCCCGGGTCCACCATTTCTGACCTGCCGGCCCGCCCAGGCCTAGGCCCGGCCCGGACCCGAGTCCATCCATAGCTGGGCTGGACCGCTTCCTCAGATTCCACTTCAGTATAATAGGTTGATTTTAAATAAAAAAAAAATGAGTGCATGTGTGATTGTGTGACTGTGGGTACGCATGTAATATATGAAGTATTATTATAAGTATGGAATATATGAAAGTAATCAAAAGAAATTTCAAAAGATTTAAAAGGATGAAATCACATGTTTGAAAACTCATGAAGATATTGGCCTTTAGTGATTTAAAAGTCCACCGAAAAATTTTTGGAAAAATATATTTTTCTTGCATTAATATCTTCTTTGCTGATCACAATTTATTCATTTACCACAATCTTTTGATAATTTAATTTATAATAATTAGTTTATAGTACATAATATTTCCATCATTTCTTGTTAATTTATTTTATCACATGATGCATAACCTTGTGATGGTACCATGGATCGCATGCATGGCCCAAGAATCATTTTTAGATAAGTCCATCAACGAGATCAACCCATTAATCGGGATTAATAATAAATCATAGCCGGGATTAGCTGTTGAGCATAATTAGGAATCTAATCCACGAAAAGAACCCACAACCAGGTTAGACTGAACAACAAACCTCGAGTCTGGACTGACTATCACTTTTCTCTTTCCCATTCTTCTTTTCGGGGCAAATTCAAACTAAAACCCTTTTAATATCAACATTATTTCTGCCATATGTGGTTCTCTCTAGGTTAAAACATATAAGTGTGAACGGAGACGGAGAGTGATGAATGAGAAAATGGAAGTAGAGTTGAGAGTATTAAATGAACATTAGTTTGAATTCATTCCAATTTACTCTTGTGGATACTATTGCTAGTACGGATTATTTTTATGGACACTCTCAGTAAGAATTATTATCATATAATCTATAAAAGTACAAATAATTCTTGTAAATTTTGCCTTTTAATAAAGAGTGAGATTGTTGAACATATAATAATATAACTAATGAGAGCAAATGAAAAAGAAAGTTAAAAAATTACGCAAAACCTACGCCGTTTTGCGAGAATGCGTAAATGTTACTATCCCGTCCCTTAAAACTTTGCCAAAGTTGACGAGCACGGAGAATAATAAAGTAAAAACTGTGTGGTTGAGGTTTGTGCAGAGAAGAGAGAAATAACAGAAACAAAAAAATAATCTTAAAAAGAGAAAGTACCAAAATTTTTTGGGACTTTTCAATTAAAAGTTATAAAGGACCTACTACTATATTCTTCCGGTAATCCGTTGCCATTGACGTGCAGCCCTTTCTCCGAATCTCGATGTTTCAACCTCTGAGCATGAGAGCTTGATTAGACCGACGCATAGGAATCCACTTCATGAGTAGAATGGATCAATCACAATTGGAGAGATACGAAGAGCTAGGGTTAAGGGAGGCCTTGAATCGACCCCATCGCTACCCACTCGCTTGCAATGAGCTGAGCTCTATCCTCCGAGACGCATATTCTCAACTCTCCAAGAATCTTCAGTCTCAAATCTTTCATGACATTCTCCTCGCCTTTCAGCTCCTTCCGGAGTAAGTTCATATTTTTATTCTGAGCGGTTCTCGAGTCATCATATAATTGTTAGTTTCTCTGAATCGTACATGGAGGAGTAAATTAATTAGTTTTTTGGTAAAACTTTCTAACCTATTATAGTGTATGTTCTATGTTTGGCAATTAATTAGGGGTCTTAAAACCATGTAAAATGGTTATAAATTATGTAATATTTGGCAATTAATTAGGGGTCTTAAAACCATGTAAAATGGTTATAAATTATGAATTGTGCCTTTTATTGCAATGATGCTTATATAGTTATATTTTAAGAACTTTATCGATAGTATAACTCAGCTTAATGCTTTAGCAAGGCTCTTATAAGTTATCTAAATTATGATAAAAACGTTCTATTTTTCTGTAGAAAAACGTTTCACACTTTCACATGGAATTGTTTTGTTTTTATACGATGAAGAGAGTGGTAATTATTTGTGTGTAATTATTTGTATACTCCATAGTACTCCCTCCGTCCCTTAAAACTTGGCCAAGTTTGACTGACATGAGGATTAATAAAGTAAAAACTAAAAACTGTGGTTGAGGACTTGAGGTTTGTGAGGAGAAGAGAGAATTAATTGGAACCATAAATTCTTGACTTAAAGGAGAAAGTGTCAAAGTTAATGGAATAAACAAAAAGGAAAGTTGACAAAGTTGTAAGGGACAAAGGAAATATATTAAAGTTGTTCTTATGTTTGATGGATATGGTAAAAAACCCGCCCCCCTCTAAATATAGATCCTGGCTTTGTCCCTGGTTGTGACTGTATAACGATGATGCTAAGCTGTTTGTACTCTCTATAATTCATATTCTTCTCATTTATGCAGAAACATGATTGTTTATAAGACCTATACAGAGAATTATTTAACTTTCTCTTTAATGTATACTATTACTAATCTGATTATGCAACACATGATCTAGATATGATATCATCATCATCATTACCCTAGTGCCGAAAAGGCTCCCACCTATGGTGGGGTAAGGGAGGTCGGATGTACGCAGCCTTACCCCTGTACTACAGTACAAAGAGACTGTTTGCGAATGACTCAAATTGAAAATCGCGTCGAAATTTGCATGGACTGACTGCTGCTTGATAACAAAGAAGCGCAAACAGTTTAGTGAACTATTTTGCTTTATTCCATCATATTCCCAAGCCAAAAAATAGTGAGTCTTTGGCTCCACTGCAAATGATGGAAGATCTAGATATGATATATCAAAGAAATTCCTTCATAATGTAGTATGTTTGGATTGTAGATGTTGCATTCTCTACCCTCTTCTTACATCTGCTTCTGGTAGTAGATATTAGGGACACTGTTGTTGAACCTTGTTAACTTTAGAATGCAGACGCAAGCTTCAATAACTGCAGCTAACGCTCTTCTGCATAGTGTGGACGCTGTTTTGCCTAAACAGAAGAGGAATTTGGCTGCTAGAGAATTCAAACATGCAATGATAGCTCATAAGAGGCGTGACAAGGCCAGTTGTGATGAAGGCGGTAGTGTTTAACTAAACCCTTCCCTTTTCCTCAAAGAGACTTAAAATTCCATCCTTGCTAAATCCCAGGAAACATTTTAATTGCAAGGGTGCTTTGTGCGTAAACCAAGACCTATGACCATAAAATGGTGTTATGTATATTGCTGTCTTTTTGTGTGTGTGTGTGTGTTCAAATTCATGGGCTACTTTCTGCTGCTTAACTGTGATAGTGGTGTCATTCAGGTCCTATACAAAAACTTCATGGAGATGTTCTTGCACACATCTTCCAATTTTTGGATGTTCAAACTCTGTTATTTGCTGCACTAGTTTGCCGGTACAGTACTCCTATTCTTTTAAACCTAGTTCATAGCTCTAGTAGCTACTGACAAACAAGCATACTCCTAAGGGCGTGAGCATCAATATGGGTGTAATTATACTGCAGCAGCTTCCTAAATTGCATGTTAATGGTCAGGTCATGGAGAGAAGCAACTTGGGATAACCGTCTGTGGCAGTCAATATATGCCAATTTTTTGGGCACTTCTGTTAACCTGTCTAATGATATTGGGCATAAAAGCAGCTACACATCATCCCAGAATATGCAAAGTACATGTCATGAAGAAATAAATACTACAACAAGTGTTGACTGGAAAGACGCTTTCAAGATAGCTCATAAAGGTACATTTAAAATCTGTAATTTTATAGCCTGAGACATAATCCCAGTTAACTGCCTATTATAGGTCCTTTGCTCGAAACAGTACAGATCTTTTTATTATTATTTACTGCTGATATGTTTCCCATTCTACTTGCTCACCATTGGTTTCTTTTGCTCACATTCAGATAGATCATCGAAAATGCTACTAACATCTCCAAGGGGGTACTGCTGTTACTGTCGTTTAGCAGTCTGGCTTAATAGTGGCAAGTGTTCGAAAAGTCAAACTGGTCAAGAGCGTTGCTATGGTACGGTCAAACCTGTTTCAACTGAACAGGTACTTTCTCATCCCAGAAGAAACAAAACCAATCCAGATACCTCTATAGATAATCAAACTCTTTTTCTTCGTGCATCATTACAATTTACGACACGCCATATTGGTACATAAAGTGTTCACTAATTTGGACTCGGCCCTTCCGTTTTCAGATTGTTCACTATGTATTATCAGGCTCCATACCTGGATCTTCTTGCATTTTTGACAGTGATTCAGAAGATAGTGATGATGAATGTACGTGTAAGTTGTGGGCCTTTCCTACGCGACTCGCCTCGTTTAATATGTACATAGAGAGGCAAGGGGAGATTGATTAGAGATTTTATATGTATACTAGGTTTCAAGCCCGTGCGATGCACGGGCGGTATGTAATTTATCTAATTTAAAATTTGATTGGTTTTCGGAATCATATATAATGTGACGCAAAAGCAAAATAAACTCAGTCTAAATATAGAGTCTGTTTGATAATACTAATATTGGTGGAATCAGTTTATTTTGCTGAAATTAATTAAATTCTAGCCGAATAGGTTGAATAGGTGAATATCCCGAATCCTGAAAAAAATATATATTCCATTTGTTAAATAAATAAAAATTATATGAAAAATAGTATAAATGATCTTCTACATAAGCTTCTCTACTAAGCATAATTGTTATGAACTCGATTTTAAAGAATTCATAGAGAAGCTTCTTAATTATTTTCATGTCCTCTAATTTACTTTATTATGTGCCTCAAAATATATTTTTCAATATTCCTCATTCAACGATGAATGTACCAGGCTCCATACCTGGATCTTCTTGCATTTTTTACAGTGATTCAGAAGATAGTGATGATGAATGTACGTGTAAGTTGTGGGCCTTTCCTATGCGACTCGCCTCGTTTAATATGTACATAGAGAGGCAAGGGGAGATTGATTAGAGATTTTATATGTATACTAGGTTTCAAGCCCGTGCGATGCACGGGCGTCGGGCGGTACGTAATTTTATCTAATTTAAAATTTGATTGGTTTTCGGAATCATATATAATGTGACGCAAAAGCAAAATAAACTCAGTCTAAATATAGAGTCTGTTTGATAATACTAATATTGGTGGAATCAGTTTATTTTGCTGAAATTAATTAAATTCTAGCCGAATAGGTTGAATAGGTGAATATCCCGAATCCTGAAAAAAATATATATTCCATTTGTTAAATAAATAAAAATTATATGAAAAATAGTATAAATGATCTTCTACATAAGCTTCTCTACTAAGCATAATTGTTATGAACTCGATTTTAAAGAATTCATAGAGAAGCTTCTTAATTATTTTCATGTCCTCTAATTTACTTTATTATGTGCCTCAAAATATATTTTTCAATATTCCTCATTCAACTTGGTATGAAATATGGAGTACATACTTTTAATAGTAAGATTTTACATTTTAGTTATTATTTCATCACATTGAAAACGTCATTAATAAGGATGTTTTTAATTGAATTAAAAATTTCGGGTTTGATTTGGTCTAAAGTAATATGATCTGATAGATTTCTATTTTACATTTTATGTGTCCAATTATCATTAAAGTTTGATCTTTTTATGTGTCCAATTATTATTAAAGTTTGATCTGATCTGATTTAGTCTGAGATTGAAATCAATCTAATTAAAAACATCTTAAGAGTAAACAAAATTAGAAATTTGTAAACATATAAAGATTTCCTAATTTAGATAAGGAATTGATCTATTTCAAAAGTGACGGAATCTAGAGTCATTTGTTTCCACAATCAAAAATAGAATCCAATAAAAATAAAAGGTATGGAGCATAAAAATAACTAAATAATTGTTATATATGATGGATGATATGACAAGATTATGCGACGCTTTGTATGCTCTTAAAAAGTTCCTCTTATATATATATATTGATTTTACGTTACCAAAAAGTATTTTAGAAATTATTTTATACTCCCTCCGTTTCTGAAACAAGTTCCACATTTGACTTCACACATATTAAGAAAATAAATTTGACTTTACTGTGGAGTGCACTGTTTGGCACTGTTTGAACACTGTTTGACACTGTTTTGATGTAGATAATTTGCCAAATAAGGAAATGTTTGAAAGTGGAACTTAATTTTGAATCTGCCCGAAAAGGAAAGGTGGAACTTGTTTCAGAAACGGAGGGAGTACAATTTTTCACACGGTAAATAACATTGCTTTCCTCCTGAAATGTACAAGGCATTTACTTTCAGCGTGATCTTTGATAAACTCATTTATAATGTGGTATATTGTTCTAAATCATCCTTCACCAAGAACACAAATAGTAGAAAAATTGTCACCGTGGTGGTCACTATGGGCGGTAGTACGGTCTAGAGGTGGATTGGGTAGGGTCCGGGCCGGGCTCCGAGTCCAAAAATGTCAGGCCCGGTACCGGCCTGGGTATGTGCTGGTACCGGATCGGGCCCAAACCGTTCAAACCCTTTTTTTTGAATTTATGTCCGTTGGGCCTAGGCCAGTCCGGCTGGTCCACTAAATTGTGATCCCTTAGCCCGATGCTTCTTCACTGGGGTTGGGCCCTGGGCCTGGTCCCGGTCAACCGGGTCAGGTTGGGCCCGCACGGTGCCGGGTCCTGGGGCGGTCCATTCCATCCCAGTCCATCCCTAGTACAGTCATTGTGGTCACTGTGGGCGGAAGTAGTGGTCATTGTGGCCGGTGATGGTCACTGAGGCATTGGACACGGCCAATGGAGTCGGTGATGCTAGTCACTATAGCAATGGGTCAAATGGAAAGGCTGTAACTGTTCGATCCATTTTAGTCTCGTTTTTGGAAACTTAAAAAGTGTCTTTTTATTTATTGATTAATTTTTAGTAATATTCTTGTTTGAACCCAATCATGGATCATTCAGATACAGTATCTATGTGATTTAGTATAGGGGTAAAATTGCTTAATTACATCCGATCCATTCTTACCTCACCGTAGGTGGGAGAGTCTTTGTGGCATTAGGGCAACGTTGTTGTGTTCTTGTCCTAACTCCAAAGTTTTAACCATTTTCTTATAACCAAATAATTTCTTTTGATTTGCCACTTTTTACACTAAAAAAGAGACTGCAATTATGTTCACTCTAAACATTGGTTGCCGTGTAGCATTCCAATCTTTTTTCTTTTTCAAATTGTTGTAAATTTTTTATTTATAATCCAATTTTTGTAAAAAAATCAAAATAATTATTTTTATGATTTTATCAATGGTACCAATATTGCATATATACAAATTGAATAAAAATGTATTTTTCTAAATATTAATTTTTAGCTATTTTTTTTTAATTTTAAAAAGTGCAATATTTGTAGTGTTGAGGTTAATTCGGTCCAAAGGCCCAACACGCTCCTTTGATTATGGTTAATATGATTATGTCAGAAAACGAAGTTAGAATGAAAGTTCACTAGCAAAATGGTTCAATAGTCTAGTTGTATAGGAGAGCAAAAAGGTTCTGTAATATGAAGGTTCAATGTTAGAGACCGTTGACTTGAAAAATCAAGTTTGGCTAAGTAAATTGGGACGGAGGTAGTAGTAGTTATACGGTTTTACACTTTTATCTTATTGGAATATTTCCAATAGATTTATTTTATTAATCAGAAAATCATTGTTTTATTTATAATAAAAATATAAAAAATAATAAAATATTTATAAAATAATAATGAAAACGTGAAAAAAAAAATTATTTATTTTTTTAAAAAGAGTCCAAAAAATAGCATAAAATACCTAAAAAATATTTAAAAAATATGCAGGTCACTGCCAACGCGTCCTCTACCTCCCAGCAACATCGACCCCGGTCGCCGGAAAAATTATGTCATCTTGTGTAAAAAATGTCACATTTATCTGAAAATGCTATAAAGATAACGTTTTTACTCTTTGAAAATATCCAGCTTTCTCTTGCTTTCTCTTCAAAATTGCCATCATGATAACATTTTTTCCCCAACTTGGCAATCTTTTTCGGCGACCGGAGGTGGCGGTGCTGGAAGGTGGCTGAGGTGGTGGTTGATGTCTATATATTTTTTAATTATTTTTTACGATTTTTATTTTTTTTATTTTGATTTTTTTTATAATGATTGTTTAAAAATCCTATTATTAAGGACAAGGGAAAAAGTAGAATAGGAAGAGTTAGTTCTAGGGGTGGGCATAAAACCCGAACCGAACCGGTACTGAACCGTCCCGTAATGGTATCGAACCGAATATCGGGTATTTAAACGGTTATATAGATTTTTATCCCGTACCGAAACTATACCGTTTGAAACGGGTACGAGATCGGTCCTAGATTTTGAGAACCGAAAAATACCGGACCGGATCGTTCAAAAATAATGCATTTGAATTTTTTTAAATTTTTTCTATACCAATAGATCTTTTTTATAGACCAACAATTTTATACCCCAAGTATGCATTCACGTGTCCCTAAGATATCTAAATGTTTGTGTTTATATATATTGTTATTTTTTCTTTTTAGATAATATATGTTATATTTTGGTATGTATTGAAAGAGTATTAAAATTTTAGAAATCATTAATGACTATTCAATTCTAGTAATGTAGTGTACATGACTTTTTGTTGTATCATGTTTGTGCAATTTTTACAACTTAATTAATATGGTTTAAATCTTATCTCTCAAGGTTCAACTATAAATTAAATTAGAACTACGGAGTAATATTTAACCTAGAACAAAGAAGAAGAACGTTGAAGATTTCTATTACATTCAACAACTTGATGATATTCGTTTTTATATTTTCACATGAATTTAGTAAATTAAAAATGATATTTATCTCGTGCGTCATCGTTTTGCTATACTTTTTCTTAGTTGTTTTGCACTATTTGTGTATTTTTGAATTTTAGTACTATGTATGCAACTTTTTGTATTTATTTCAACATTTCATGTGAGTTGGTTGGTGTTATGATATCTACTAATCGCAAGACTTATTCAAAATTTTTAGCATGTGTTTGGCATTGTACCGTACCATTTTATACCGTTCCGAGAAACCACATGGTACTGAACGGTTCTATCCTTGGAACCGGACCGTACCGGACCGTTAAAAACCTCACGGATACATTACGAGTTTTACCAATTTACCGGACCGTTCCGGACCGCGCCCACCCGGCCACCCCTAGTTAGTTCTATTTTGCGAATTTAAATTTGAAACTCCTGTTGTTGCAATTATGCTTTTATTTACTCCTATTTAGGTAAATCTCCCTTTTTTTGCAATTATTTTTTGTTGAAATATTTTTCTAATCCCATTATAGTTACTACTCCCTCCGTTTCTGAAACAAGTTCCACCTTTCCTTTTCGGGCAGATTCAAAATTAAGTTCCACCTTCAAACATTTCCTTATTTGACAAATTATCTACATCAAAACAGTGTTCAAATAGTGCCAAACAGTGTTCAAACAGTTCCAAACAAGGCACTCCACAGTAAAGTCAAATTTATTTTCTTAATATGTGTGAAGTCAAATGTGGAACTTGTTTCAGAAAAGGAGGGAGTATATTTTTTAACCAAGTGACCAACAATCAATTTTGGC